TTTGGTTCTTTTTTTTTTTTGTTAAGTTTCGGATTAATTTCAGAATTTTCTTCCAATTCCTAGAAGAAAGATACAAAAAAAATCGAGAAAAAGAAGAAAAGTTGAGTTTAGTTCTTCGCTCCAGTTCTGTTTCTATTTCAAAATCAGAAAACAAAAAAAAAGAATAAAAAAAAAATTCTTGTTCCTCTGCTTCCCAATTTCGGATTCTGTTCCAAAAAAATGGAGTCAGATTGAACGACCTTGTCACTATTCCCGCTACTGGAGTTCACTCTTATTTTAGACCTTATTTGTTCAATTTCACTGCTGCTGCTGTCTGTCTCATCGCTGAGCTCCCTGCTCCTTTCTTTGCTTTTAATCCGGCTAATTTCGCGATGTATTACTGCTGATTGAGGTATGGATTTCAGTGAGTTAAGCTTTGAAATAATTCTTTGAGCATTTGTATGACCTGCTATTTGGGAATATTATTTATATGACATGTTGTTTGGCATTATATGCTCAACCAGTAGTTATGAAGTTAATTCAATGTGTTTCTATAACTATAAAAGATTATGGAGCTATTCGTTGTTGTTACAACAAATTGGTTAAAAAACTGGGCTTAAAGTTTCTCCATTCACTGACTACTACTCACTACCGCAATGTAATTGTTCTATTTAGTTTCTGCACCATATTAGGGTGAGAGTTAATGTTATGTTGGTGTTAGTCCGAAAATTGATGACGAGGTGATAAGAAAACAATATAGGAAATTAGCTCTCATACTTCATCTTGATAAGAATAAGTCATTTGGGACTGAAGGAGCTTTTAAGCACGTTTCAGAAGCGTGGAGCTTATTGTCTGATAAGAAGAAGAAATCAATTTATGTATATAAGTGTATAACGTTTTGTGTTGAAAATCCTTGAGTGGAAAGGTTGTGCTAAAAGAATTTTTGTTAAAGACTTGAAGTGTTGGAAAAACTTTGGATCGTGTAGAGATAAGCATTGCTTTAAGGAAACAACAACAACAATAACAACCCCGTATAAATCCATAAGCGGGGTCTGGAGCGGATAGTGAGTACGTAGACCTTACCCCTACCCTGAGAGAGTGGAGAACTACTATAATCCATGGCCTTACAATAATCATGAACATTTGTAGTTTGCTTTAAATTGAATACAATCCTTTTAGAATAATCGAGGCGCGTCATGCCAAATAAAATCTCAAAACTCATGGCCCTCATTTAATTAATTTTAATCCTTAGAAATCGAGGCGTGCCATTTAGTTGAATTTTCCATGGCCCTCGCAAACTTGAAAGTGCGTAGTTGCTTTAGGCGCACTATTTAAATTAATTTCCTTAAACTCGGGTGTGCATTTCATGTGACCCAAATCCAATTCTCAACAACGTTAAATAAAATGTGTCGTGGACCACTGTGCATTTCATGTGGCGTGGTTCAAGACATGTTTTAGATAACGTTGAATCTTCCTAAAACTAATTAAAAGCGGCTAATAAGTTAAAAATGTACCATAGGCTAAAACATGTAATAAATCAGATAATAGACCAATTATAATAGTTTAAGCGACCGTGTTAGAACTACGGAATCCGGGGGTGCCTAACACCTTCCCTCGGGTTAACAGAATTCCTTATTCAGAATTTCTGGTTCGCAGACTTCAAAAGGAAAGTCGANNCGGTAATTTGGGACACCAATTAAAATATTCCAAATGGCGACTCTGATAAATAAATAATCTCATTTTGAATAATGTCACTTAAATTGTAAAAACTCCCTATATATACCTTCGGGTGTGTAAAAAGGAGGTATGACAGCTCTGGCGACTCTGCTGGGGATCGCCAAACCCAGAACTTTGGTTCAGGGTTTAAGAATTCGAGCTTAGGATAGCTGTTATGATTGACTTTATCTGTTATCTGATTTTCCTACATGTTTGAGCCTAATGTGCTAAATGCTTTTACCGCTTTGATATTCTGTGAACTGTATATAAACTGCTACGAAACCCTTCCTCTCTCTGAGTCTTCTAAATCATAGAGAAGGGTGCACTTCGTGTGACTTCTCTTTTGTGTAGAGTCTTATCCCATTTTAGAACGAGGTTCGGACAAGTTGCTATGCCGGTGAAGCTTCTGTATTCCCGGTACGCTGCCACCCCTTGGCTCGAGTTGTCCGCTCGGGTAAGCCAGGTCTAGAACAATAAACCCAGGTTTTAAACCTAGTATAACAAAGCCTCATGCCGGATCCCTAGTAGGAACGTTTGTTTGCATCACGTGCATTTGACTTAAGAGGCTCAACACAGGGGTTGGGTCTGTTTAGGACAGGTGTACCTGAAATAAAAGACCATCCTGATGCATTCTACTTGCTACTTGTGAATTTATTTGCTTCGGATTTGCATGTTGACTGGCTTGTGGATAATAGAAGGAATTGGGAAAAGAAAATAGCAGTGTGAGGGCTCAGAGAGATAATTACTTGTTTTGAGAAATCAGTGTCCAAAATATACCGAAACTCTGCCAAAATTTTGAAAAAAAAGAAAGAAAGTTTTGTCTTTAGAATTAGTTGGTTTTCATTTTGTCAAATCTGACCGAACTACGCTGGTCTGATTCTCACCGGATGTGAGATACGTAGGCAAACCTCATCGGTTTCGACCCCAATTTTCAAAAAAATCCAAAAAAAGAAAATTCATTCGTTCCTTCTTTAGAAATATTTCCGTAGAAAATTCAAATAAAAAAAGAAGAAGTTTTTTTAAAAAAACAAAATACTCAAAAAAAAGTAGTGTCCTTCTTTCTGAAGTTTTTTCATACGGAAAAAGAAATAAAAAGAAAATCAATAAAAATTAAAATCCAAAATACGGGTTTCCTTCGTTTTTAAGTATTTTCCCCAAAAGTTCAAAAAAAAAGACTCTTTAGATGATTTTCTTTTTTAAATGTCCATAAACAAATTTTGAAAAAATTAAGTCCAAAATTATTTTCGCCTTTCTTTAGAAGTGCTTTTGTAAATAAATACAAAAAAAACTCAGAAATCCAAAATATTTTTTAAAAATCTCTCTTTCGAAAATTAAGAGGCAACATCCAAAATCCAAAAATATTTTTCTTTCTTCTTTAGAAAAAGAGAAAACAAATGAAAATTCAAACAAAAATATTTTCTTTTTACTTTTAAAATTCCCAAATTTCAAATCAAAAGCAAATGAATTTTTTTTAGAAGTCTTTCTTTCAAAAACAAAACAATAGTCAAATTTCAAAAGCAAAAAAATCAAAAATATTTCCTTTTTTCTTTTAAAGCATTTCTTTCAAAAATTCCAACCAAAAAAAAAGTTAGTTTATTTACTCCATTTTCGATCTTCCCGAACTACGCAAGATCTGATTCATGCGGCGTCATGATACGTAGGCAATCCCCATTAGATTCGATCATAGCTATAAAATAAATTGAGTGAAAAAGTAAACTGAAAAAAAAGAGAAAGAAAATTGAGTGAAAAAGAGAAAAAGAAAAAAATAGTGAAACGAGAAAAAAAAAGAGTGACAAAAAATAAAAGAGTGAAAAAAAGAGAAAAAAAAGAGTGCTAAAAAATAAAGGAGAGGCAAAAACAAGAGTGATTAAAGAGAGGCAGAAATGAAGAAAAGAGGTACAGAGTGAAAAGGGCTAGTTAAGGCCGGGATGAAACATGCAACCGTTCAAACACACGGTAGAAACGTTTAACTATTAGGTTCATTGCATCCAACGTGCGATTTTCTATATGTTAAATGTTTCAAAACTAACAAGGTTGTTGGATGTGCAAGCATTTAGCCAGGTTTTGGTGGTTGGTTTTGTTGGTAGTCTAGTTTCCCTCCTTCACAAAGGCACATATGGCCTCCGCAAGCAATCTACCAATCATCGGTCTTGAGGATAGCCCAACATCAACTATTCTACAGCTAGAATCAGCAACTGCTGAAGAGAACAAGATGTTGCGTCTCCGCATATTGGAAATGTGGGACGCCTGGTCTAATGGTAGGGAACCTCCAAGTGCAATCCCTGGGTTCCCTGAATTGATCCCCAGGTCAGGTGAGGTTACCAATGCCCTTGTGTCCAACCCGCTCATCCCATGCAGACACCCTCCAATGCCTTCCAATGATCCTGGCATGCCTTCTGTGGTTCGCCCCTGGCACCGCCTCCAATGTTCATCTTTTAGGGTCCACAGCTTCAACCAGAAATGATATATGTGACCCCATACTCTTTCACTCAACCTCCGCAATATGACCTCTCGGCGGAGCAAGAAAAGGTTGTTGAAAATCCCGAGCAAGAGGAAATGGCTCGGAAGATGAAGAGCCTAGAACAAAGTCTGAAAAACATGCAAGGTCTGAGTGGCCAAAAGAGTGTGTCATACTCTGACCTCTGTATGTTTCCCTATGTCCACGTGCCAGTTGATTTCAAGATGCCAAAAATTGAAAAGTACGATGGGCATGGAGACCCGGTCGCTCATATGAAATGATACTGTAACCAGTTGAGGGGTTCTGGTGGGAAAGAGGAGCTGCTAATGGCCTATTTCAGGGAAAGCCTCACCGGGATCGCTTCTGAGTGGTATACAGATCAAGAAACTACTTATTGGCACGTGTGGGACGATATGGCCCGAGATTTTGTTTGCCAGTTCCAGTATAATGTGGACATCGCTCCCAACAGAAACACTTTGTCCAATTTGAAAAAGAATATCACGGAATGCTTCCGCGAATATGCTGTCAAATGGCATGAGCAAGATGCGAGGGTAAAGCCTTCGATGGACGAAGTTGAAATGGTCAGGGTCTTTCTGCAGGCCCAAGAGGCTGACTACTTCCAGAACATGATGGCCGCTATGGGTAGGCCGTTCACTGAGGCTATCAAAATTGGGGAAATGGTTGAAAACAGTTTAAAAACGGGCCGAATCTTGAGTCATGCTGCCTTTAAGGCCACATCACAGGCTGCTCAGAATGGTTTGTTGGAGGGTTTGATGAATAGAAATGGGTTTGAAGAGGGAGCCATGATGGTGTCAAGCTTGAGGGGGGCCCGCAAGTCATTCAGCTAATCATATGTGCCTCCTGTCGTCCCACCACATTATTATCCCCTTCAAGATTATGCTTATGCCGTGGCACCGCCTCCCTATGAGGTGATGAGTGCGCAATCTTACACGCAGCCACAATATTATACACAAAATTGAGCTCCAACTCCCATAAATGCCCATCCTTACCAAGCTCCATATAATCCCCAACCAGATCTTCCCCAGTACAATCCTCGCCCAAGAGAGCCTTTCCGAAAGAATCCGTTCACCCCAATTGGTGAATCGTATTCAAGCTTGTTCCAAAAGCTAATCAGGCTAAATCTATTGCAGCCAGCGGCCCTGAACCAGCCGAACCCCGAGTTCCCCTCGCACCGAGCTGATGCTATATGTGAATACCACTCTAGAGTAGTGGAACACAGTATAGAGGACTGTTGGACCCTCAAAAGGGAAGTTGAGGGTTTGATTGAAGTTGAAAGAATTATTTTTCGGGATGAAGAAGCTCCTGATATGATGAACATTCTGCGACCTGCCTACAATATCGGGCCAATTGTCGGAATGATTTGTGAAGCTGAGGAATTTGATCCGGCATTGAAGGCCATTGCAGCCATTGCCGAGACAGGAGAAAAGCCAGAAAATGATCGCCAAGCATGAAAGTTCCCCATTAGACGGGAGTTTTGGTAGCCAGTCTTGCTATCCTTTCTACGTCCGGATTATTTCAGGGTGTGATCCGGACATTTTACTTTATTGTCTTACTTTCTGATGTAAGCCCTTCTATCTTCAAAAATTAAAAAAAAATCAAAAAAATCAAAAATCAAATGAAATTAATATTTCATTGTCTAAGAATGTCTCTTTTCTCAATCTTGTCATTTTTCTTTCTTATTCTCTTTTTAGTTCTGTTAAATGCAGATTTCAAAAACATGACATGCTTGCGAACTTCATACCCGGATCCTGAAAGCTATCAAACCTCGAAATAATGAATCAAGGATTAGATAGCAATGAAGATAAAGTTTAAGGAAATAAAACATAGAGTTGGAACATCTAAAGGAAAATTGGTTCTATATTAGAAAGGTCCATATATTGCAACAAGATCACTGCCAAAAGAGTGCATTGTACTTGGGACACGTCAAAGGAAATAATTCGTTGAGCATTTGTATGACCTGCTATTTGGGAATATTGTTTATATGACATGTTGTTTGGCATTATATGCTCAACCAGTAGTTATGAAGTTAATTCAATGTGTTTCTATAACTATAAAAGATTATGGAGCTATTCATTGTTGTTACAATAAATTGGTTAAAGATCTGGGCTTAAAGTTTCTCCATTCACTGACTACTACTCACTACCCCAATGTAATTGTTCTATTTAGTTTCTGCACCATATTAGGGTGAGAGTTAATGTTTTGTTGGTGTTAGTCCAAAAGCTGATGATGAGGCGATAAGGAAACAATATTGGAAATTAGCTTTCATACTTCATCCTGATAAGAATAAGTTATTTTGGACTGAAAGAGCTTTTAAGCTCGTTTCAGAAGCGTGGAGCTTTTTGTCTGATAAGAACAAGAAATCAATTTATCTATATAAGTGTATAACGTTCTGTGTTGAAAATCCTTGAGTGGAAAGGTTGTGCTCAAAGAATTTTTGTTATAGACTTGAAGTGTTGGAAAAACTTTGGATCGTGTAGAGATAAGCAGTGCTTTAAGGAAACAACAACAACAATAACAACCCCGTATAATTTCACAAGCGGAGTCTGGAGAGGATAGTGAGTACGTAGACCTTACCCCTACCCCGAGAGAGTAGAGAGCTACTATAATCCATGGCCTTACAATAATCATGAACATTTGTAGTTTGCTTTAAATTGAATACAATCCTTTTAGAATAATTGAGGCGCACCATGCCAAATAAAATCTCAAAACTCATGGCCCTCATTTAATTAATTTTAATCCTTAGAAATCGAGGTGTGCCATTTAGTTGAATTTTTCATGGCCCTCGCAAAATTGAAAGTGCGTAGTTGCTTTAGGCATGCTATTTAAATTAATTTCCTTAACTCGGGTGTGCATTTCATGTGACCCAAATCCAAATCTCAACAACGTTAAATAAAATGTGTCGTGGACCGCGGGTGCATTTCATTTGGCGTGGTTCAAGACATGCTTTAGATAACGTTGAATCTTCCTAAAACTAATTAAAACGGCTAATAAGTTAAAAATATACCGTTGGTTAAAACATGTAATAAATCATATAATAGACCAATTATAATAGTTTAAGCGACCGTGTTAGAACCACGGAATCCGGGGGTGCCTAACACCTTCCCTCGGGTTAACAGAATTCCTTATTCAGAATTTCTGGTTAGCAGACTTCAAAAGGAAAGTCGAGTTTTCCTCGATTTGGGATTAAAAATAAACCGGTGACTTGGGACACCAATTAAAATTTTCCAAATGGCGACTCTGATAAATAAATAATCTCATTTCGAATAATGTCACTTAAATTGGAAAAACTCCCTATATATACCTTCGGGTGTGTAAAAAGGAGGTGTGACATACATTATCTTCCACTGCCATCTAGGTTCGTCTGCCATAGTTGCCAACAGAATTCTATGGTAAAATAATTCTAAAAAAAGTTGGAAGGAAGCTTAGTAAACTACTTAAAATTGATACTTTCACAACCTCCACCCGAAGAGGAAGGTATGCACGCATCTGTATCCAAGTTCCACATGAAATTTTGGTAAAAACATCGGTCATTATGGGAGATCACAAACAGGCAGTGATCTATGAAGGAGAATGAACCTTGTGTACAGACTGTGGCGGGATTGGCCACACATTTAAAAATTGCAAATACAGACAAGCTACAACAACACCATCACAAGAAAGCCCCAAAATGCTCAGAAACGCGTAGTCCTAAAGAAGACAAGGACGGATGGAAGACAGTAACCTTCCTACGAAGAAGATAGCTAAACCACAAACCCACGCAGGGAAGAAGTGATGAAGTAGGAATTGCATCATCCTGATAAAAAATCACAAAAGATACAGAAAAAATATTCGATGCAAAATCTAGTAAGCTTCTGGAAACTCAAACCTTTCAATACAAATCCAAATTGAATAATACCCAGGCTAATAATCCTAATCGGCTCAATGTTTTAACTAATTAACAAACACAAATTCATTCATCATACCCCGCTAGCCCAACCCAAAAGGCCTCAGCCCAAGTACAATGCTAAAAGGAAAGCGGGGTCGGGGTCTGAAGAGACATGAATGGACGCTACAATTGGGCAAGTCCAAGTTGTATCCAACGAGGCCCCATCACTAACACAAATTCAGGCATAGACATGACAAGCAACGTTGGATTGGGCCACCACTCCCCAACCAAATCGGCCAATGTGGTCCATACCCAATCAGACTTCCCTAGCCAAATGATTTCCCCTGCCCTAGTACCTACACGCCCCTTACTCACCCCCTAACAAAAATATCTACTGTAAAACCTTCATCACAATCCATGATACTCAAGTGCCTCACCTGAGAAATCACCCAAACTCAGGTGACATGACACCCTACGTCAACTCAAATAGATCCATAATTAATTCCAAATCTATGATATCAGATGCAATTACCAATGCTCAATCCGCTTAATCTGATTTGATTCCTATGCCAAATCACATCATTATGTACCAAACACCTAACCTAACCCCAGTTTTACCCAAAAACACAAAAATGGAAAACCCCCAACAACCACCCATCATCGTGACCTCACTCCCACTACCACTAGACCACACACTGACATCATTGCTAGAGGTGGCCCTACAGGGCCAGGGATTAGCCTTAAACTTCATCTTAGAGAACCAGCCGGTAACCCTAATCATCCAAAATGCTGCGCACCTAGCGAAGGTAATGGTGGAGGCCTTAAACAGGGCCTTGGCAGCCTTTGCCCCAAAATTCTAACAAGCAATGACCCTCAACGGCAGCATGCACCCCAATCTAGACTCCTCATTGATCAACAACTTCATTTCCTAAGAATTCCAGTCAATTCCCTTCTTCCCAAACCCAATAGCGGAAGACCCGACAAAGACTCCATAATTTGCAACTATCAAACCACCATCCCAACAAGCTCCATCATTTTCAACTCTAGTAGGGAAGAGCCAAACACCACCGCTAGGGAATATAACAAAAGAGATCAACAGAGCACTAGATCTGTTGAAAGGGAGAACAACCATGGAGGTGGAAGGGGACGGTTATGGACCACTCCGAATGGACTCTCTTCTACTGGACTCTGTCATAACGATAGAGTTCAGTATGGAGAGCAGTGAAATCCTGGTTCTTCTATGCCCCAGGACCTTGACAAAATATGGAGTGGGTCTGGGTTCTCACCACAGTCAAGGAGTGATCAAGCCCTCGCTAACACTAACCCTTGTAATTAACATGAAAAATCAAGCACAAATGAAACCAGTGACGCCTCCTCAAGGGACAGAGAAGACACACATAACACAATCCCCCTAAGCCAATACCCCTAATGAATTACATTGTATGGAATGTTAGGGGTGGCAACAATGCTGAGTTCAAAAGACACTGCCTTGCCATGGTTCAAATGTATAAATCAGCCATGCTAGTGCTGTTGGAAACCAGAATGGCCGATCATAAGAAGCTGACTAAGGAAATGCAGTTTCACATGCTCATTCAGTCCCTATTAGTGGGTCTCTCTGGTGGGATTGTCACGATGTGCAAGGCAGACTGTGTGCAAGTAGCTGCTGTATCCACTACTCCTTAATGTATTCATGCCAAGATTAATGTACTACCCTCTCATACTCCCTAGTTATTTTTAGCTATTTATGCCAGCAACCTGTTAGTTGATATGAGACTATATTGGGATAACTTATTTACTATCTCTAGGAGTTATGTTGGAAACTGGTTTGTATGTGGTGATTTTAATGAAGTGTTAAAGGCTAGGGATAAGTTTGGGAGAAATTCCATTAACCCCAATCGAAGTAACCTCTTTTGGAATTGTCTTAATGAAAGCAAACTGGTAGATCTAGGGAACAAGGGTAGTAAATACACTTGGACAAACAAAATGTATAAAAATAGGAGCAGTCTAATCTTAGAAAGAATTGACAGATGCTTTGCTAATGACTGCTGGATATCTTAGTACCCTGAGGCATGTGTAACCCATCTCCCTAAGACCCACTCTAATCACTGCCCATTACAAATAAAGATAAAGGGGGATATGTCAATACCACCAATAAGCCCTTAGGTTTGAATTCATGCGGTTTAGCTGGAATCCAAAAATCCCCTAGCTACTAGTTCAGTGACTTCCTTTCGGACCTAGGAGGTAGCCTGATTAAGAAACGTGACTCAATCCTAAAAAATGAGAAAGATTTCTAGAAGCTGAAATCAAGGGTCAACTAGATAACTAAGGATGATGCCAACACTAGGTTCTTTCACACTTCCACCCAACATGATCATGTCCCATAAAGATGATAGTGGGAGTTGGCTATATGAATATAGGGACACAAAAATTCCATCCTGAACTTTTTCAGGGCTCTCTATACCTCTTCCCACACTCAAGCCCCTCTCCACACAACTAATCATGTAGGTCTGACCCATATTCTTTCCAACTGTCAAAGAGATAACCGAGACATACCCTTAGAGGAAAGTGAGATCAAAGGGGCCATCTTCTCTTTCAAACCCTTTAAAGCTCCTGGACTTAATGATTTATATCCCTTCTTCTACCAAAAATACTAGAGCATTGTGGGGCAATCAGTGATTAACTTCTGTAGATTATGTTTTACACCTACACCATCCATGAAACCATGAATGAGACCTTGATCTGCCTCATCCCTAAGTGCCCTCAGGTCACCATGCTCAAAAACTTCAGACGTATATGACTTTCCAATACCATTTACAAGACTGTCACAAAGGTCATTATTAATAGAAATAAACCACTCCTCCTTGACATTATTGGCCCTAGCCAGGGAAGCTTCTTATCTAATAGGAGGGTATCTCACAATGCTATTATTATCCAAGAATACATCACTCACTTTGGTAAGATGAGAAGGAATTGGGCCAACATGATCCTAATAATTGACCTAGAAAAAACCTTTGACAGGCTGGAGTGGTCTTTCATTAGAGACATCGTCTAGACTTTCAACTTCCCTCCTGGGCTAACTAAATTAATCTTATCTTGCATCAACTCCTCCTCCATCTCTATTCTGGTAAATGGTGGCAAAACTGACACTTTCAAACCATCAAGGGGAATTAGGAAATGGGATCCCATTTCTCCATACCTATTCATCATGTGCATGGAGAGACTCTCTAGACTTATTGACATGGCTGTTTATGATAAG